ATCCATACATTAACCATCCTTTTTATCTCGCTGTTTGAACTGTGCTCTGCAGCTCTGTTTCAGTTTTACTATTCATTCATCAGCATGAAGTTAAACAATTACTAAACGGCTTGGGTAGCTGGCAAGCAGCGAGGAAGCAAGATCCATTTCTGCCCAGAGGGAAGAAAGATTTTATACAATAGCATGGCCTTTGTTTTGCATCTCGTGGGCGATGCTATTGATGTGAAGGTTATATCACGTTATGTGCCAAACCGCTTGAGCTAGTTTCAGATTGCAGTTCCCCTTGGGGTATTTCCACTTGATATATAAGAAGATAACCAGATCTGCTCTCTGTCCACTCCTAGCCTGGACAGTGCTTAGTCAGCTCCCCCACTCTTGGCAAGACAAAGCGAGAAAGTGGAGCTGCACTACCCCAGTTATTACCGCTTTATCAATGATCATTCCTCTAAATGCTTTGGAGCACATCACAAAGCAATGAGCAAATTGCGTGTTCTCCTGTGGTGAACAGAAAGCAGTTATGTGACCATAAAATACAATACCCCATATGTGTCAACTTTTTCTGCTTGTGTCTGCAGAACAGTAATACTTTGTTTCAGCTTTAATTTTTGATCACAAAACTGTTTATTTTCTTGCTGCGAAGAAATAGATTTTGAGTGCACGGCAGAGATGCAATTCTGCTTCCCATGCATTGGGAACATCAAGATTTGGAGAGCTGATCTGTGACACTTTCTATTATTTTGTTTTTTTTACAATACATCAGTTAGTATTCCTCACTACCAGGATATACAATATAGGTAATGGCAACTTTTGCTTTGTTTTGTAGACCTTGATATATTTTTTTTTTTCCCCTGAACCTTTTTTTCATATTGTAATTGCTGTGTTGCTTTGTTCTTTCACTGTGGTATGGTGAAATATTGAAGAGATTTTTGCAGAGTTTAATGGAATAACTGCCACTGGCTTGCTTGGAGTGAACTATCACTCCAGAAATGAAGCATGAAGAGAAGCCACTCAGCTAAGGGCACTCTACGGCTCCAAAGAGCTGCATTGCAGGAGATGGGATGTGTTTTCCAGCCTGGGGACGCTGTCCAGACCATGTACTTGCAAGGAGATGGGAATGGGGTTGAGATTTTTGCTGATTTAACCCTCTCAAGCTGTTTAAAAATAACATTTCCTGTACTTAAAACATATCTCTGCTAATCCAGTGTCCCTTGGTCTTTTATCACATTTTTTCTTTTTTTGGGTTAATGAGCTCTGGAGGCATGTAGCTGCTGTAGCCAAAAGCTTTGGGCTTAAGGGTCTGGACCTTGGGGCCCCTCTGTCCAGGAAAGATGCCAGATATGGGACTTTGCCTTGAAGGGTGTACAGAGATGGTTACAGGATCAATAACCAGAAGAGGTTTCTCCAGCACAAGGGAATGGGCCAAGGTTAAGCAGTGCTGGAAACAGCCAGCACATTCAGTCAGGGTCTGCTGGCAGTCTTAATGTCAAACAAACATCATGAACACCAGGGCAGTGAGTCTGTAAAGGTCTTATTCTAGTGCCCTGAGTCTGGAAACTTAATAGGTCGTTTGGAGACTACAAAGGGAAATGCCTTAAAACTTGAAGCCGTTACTAAAGGGCTGAACTAAAAACCTCCCAAAAGAGCCTGAGAGCACTGACAAATCCATCATCTGAATACTGTGGGCTGGGTTTCTTAATGGTCAAAAGCAAAACTTCCTCTTTCATTTGAAAAATATGCATGCAAGTACTCATCTCAGAACAGGAGGCTCAGGTTCAGCTCCTATTTCTGCTCATTACAGGCTTTATTTTTTTGCTCCATCCTGCTGGAACTGCTTAATTTGTCTGAACAGTGAAGCATTCACCGGATTAGAGCGCCTGCCAGCATAATCTGGTAGTCAGGACAACAGCAGGGAGATGGAAACCCCCATGCAGGTCTCCAAACCAAGTACAACAAGGCCTCTTGCATTTCAGAGAAGCATCGTAGCTCTTTCTGAGCCCAAAAACCATCCCAACCAAGTGCTTCCCACCATCCCATTATTGAACCTGGCGCATTTCCATCAATCAGCCTCACGCAAAGAAACTCCAGTGTAGGGGGACATTTCTCACTGGCTCTAATCAAAATCAGCAGAAAGGGAATGGTGATTTCATCCCATTACAAGTGTGAATTCAAAGGCACCTTTCACTTTGAGTGTCTGCTAGAAGTAGATGTGGCCAACATTTGTTAGCAGTTAGACTGTGTTGCTTATCAGTAAATACAACAAAATAGATTCATTCTGTTTTCTTGCCTCACCTAATACAAATCTATTGTTTATTTTGATTTGAGAAAAGAAACAGTAGAGAAAAGTTCACTAAAAAGTTCGCTGACATTTTTTGCAGAAATATTTTCCACTGGAGGTCAGCTACATTTTTCCAGCAGTAATTCAATAACCCAAGTCCATCATATTGAAAATCCCTCTGGACTCTTAACAAACTAGGCAGACATTCATAGGTCATTTTAGAAACACTTTGAAGACGACTCCAGAATCCACTCTGCACTATAGATCCTTGTTGGACAAATTGTCCCTGAATCTATTTATATTTGTTTTGTATTGTTATGAGAAAGCATTGGCTTATCCAGTTAGAAGGGTCTAGCACTGGTCACACAACTGCGCTGAAGTCTGGCAATACTGATAGAGAAAATGAAGGAATAGATAGGAAGACATCGAGGAAAGATTTCTTTACTCAATTTTTTTAGCAGAACTATGCAGTTTAAAATCACTCAGAAAGTGAACGAGATACTAACAGTGCTTAACTGAGCCCCACTGCTTGTCCTCCGTGAAATTATGATCTATTCATTTTTTTTCAGTGTTTTTTGACTCAGCATGCATACTTGTGTGGTGGATTTCCTTCTTTTTTTATTAAAAACAATATAAAGGAAACTCAGGCTTTCTCAAAAACCTGATGTACTCAAACCTAAAACAAAGCCTCGCTCAAGGCTGGATTTGCCAACCTAGAGATTACCTGGGCAACAGCTAGGCAGAAACTGGAGTCGATCTGTGCTTTCCACCAAGCAGCCCTATGCCATGGAATGCTTCTTGCTGTGTCGACCAGGCAGAGCATCCCAGGTCACTGAGCCACGAAGGGCAGCACAAAGTCCAGCTCCAGCCTTGTACTCTGTGACATGGAAAGAGCATGAGTGAGGAAAACCCTGATCTAACCCATTTTGTTTTTCAATCAGAGGACTCATGCAGGAGTCAAGCTCCTGCCAAGGCCAAAAAGGAGAGGAGCAGTTTTCCTCCTCCCTCATACCTGCACCATGAGTAAGAGTCACAGTTAATATTCTTTGTCTGCTCCTGGAGCAGCACACACATCTAATATATTGTTTCCTAGACCAGAGGAGACCCTATAAAATGAGCATTTCCTCTAAAAACAGCTCTTTGCATGGCTCCGGATAATACGCAGCTGATGTGAGATGGTCTGGCTGCAGAGCTTGGCTGGAATAACACTAACAAACCCAGAGCCCAGGCATCCTCCTGCTGCCCCAGGAAAGCTGTCAGCAGCCAGAGGAAAATCCGACACCTTCAGCTGCTGCCTGACGAGTGTGTGGTGGTCTGTCTGTCCGTCCGCCCATCTGTCCATCCATCCACATATCCAGCAGTCCCTGCCTGGTGAGGAGATCCATGCAGGGTGCATCGCGGTGTCTCTGCTCAGCAGGCAAATTGGGTTTCTCCAGTGGAAAAACTGGAAGTGTTTGTGTCCCTGGACACTGTCTGGAAGCGCGTGGGTGTTTCTTCAGGCTCTGGGAGCCCGGCCCCACAAAATGCTTAGGCACATGTGTAACTAGAAGTGACGTCCAACAGAGTGCTGCAGACACAGGCGCTTCCAGTTCCAGCAGGATCCAAGCAGTTTCCAGGATCCCAACTTTCCAAGAAGTTTTAACTTGTTGGTTGCTTTTTTGTTGTTTGTTTGTTTTTTTTTCATCCAAGACTCCTTTCTGCCTGCCCATGCAGCAGCTGGATTGGACTCCCTGTGGGGCATGGCAGGTCTTACCCTTAATGAAGAAATACATCCACAAAACAAGGTACAAGAATTTGCACTGCTGAATCTGCGCAGTTATTAATGCAAAAAACAGAATTAATTCTGGTCCAAAAAGTTGGGAGGAAAGCAACAACAATGATGGGTACCATCTCATACCACAGCTGTTTTACAGCAATTCCACTTTACATTCCCTGGCCAGCAGAGCTCCTGAGTAATGACATAGCCAGATCACACACAAGCAGAAAAGCCTCAAATGTGAATAAATATCAGTTTTCCAATTCTGAAAGGAATTTAATCATGCAAACTTTCTACCATATTCGAGAGAGCCAAAAAGCAGCGATAGCCCTGAGCTCATCTTTGTGGTACTTTCTCCTGCACCAAAGGAACCTGAGCTGTTGACCTGAGGGAAACCTGACCATGGGGCACAGCTCCTGAAGACCTGGGGGGAAAACCCCTTACCAAGATCTGAGGGGAAACTTCTTTATAGAGGAGAAATCAATTACAATCCTGATACAAGAAATATTGTTTCACCTAACAGTATCCAGCATTGCAAACGCTGTTCGCTAATCATCTTATTCAAAAACACAGTGTTTCTCAGCATATAAAACATTAAATTGCAACAATGACTCATATTTGAGCTGCAAAGTTAGGCATGCATGTTTTCCAAATGTGCCAAGTAGGCAAAACACCAGCTAGCCTTGGTATGTGGTCAGAAGAACATGCTTACACCACACGCTGAAGGAAACATGAAAGCTGAACTATTTTTTTGTGTGCCCTAATATTTTCTCATTGAATGTATACTAAAATGAAAGAGCGTGTGAAAAAGCCTCAATGATTTATCCGTAGAGTGAATTTACCAACTATCTGAGAAGATGCTGGAAATCTGGAAGAGAACACAGCAAACCTTTGCTAACCTATATTTCTTTTTCCTGTTTTAAAATGTAGACGATGCCTAAATAAATGACAAATTGAATCAGACAAGTATTAAAGTGAAACCATGGAAGATCTCCCATTTTATTGTGAAAGTCATCATAAGAGGAGCTGCACAGAAATAGTTGGTGATCTGCACTGACTTAAACTTTGTGCAAGTGGTTTCCATGCAGATTAACAGTCAACACAAAGGTTGTGAGAACCCCTCTTCTCATCCACAGCATTAATCATTATCAGCAAAATTTTTGAGCTGGGCACATGAAAACTTTCCTTGCTGGATTTGTATTTTTGTTTGTGTAGGACAGCATTTACTGCATTCATTCAACTATATCACATCTGATAAACATACTTTTCCATCATACCTTCTGGGCCCTCCTTAAAGAAATTACTGAATCAATGCCCAGACCTGTGAGCCATAAAGCACTGCGAGAAAGCTGGTGGGGGAAAGGGCAGTAGGAAAAGAATTTACAGCAGCTGAAGCCTGTGGCAGATCAGTGACTGCATTACCGTGGTGTGACATAAACAGAAAAGGTATTTCCAGTCTTGGATTATATGGCAAAACATGGGAGATTTGATTTATGAAGGGAGAATAAAAGGGTAATGCCTCCGGTTACATACAATTGCAAGGGCTTAAGTAATGAGCTCAGGTTAGAAATACACATGAGGATCCGAACTTCCAAAGAGTTGCTTTAAAAAGAGCAGTTTGCACATTTGTTGCCATGCAGTCTGCGATGGCTTGCAGAACAGCAATAGAGTCTGCCACTTCAGGCAGGTGTTAGCCAGTGGTGGATCTGCGCCCACCTGCCAGCTGCCTGTTTTGAGAGGATCTGCTCCTGTCAAGCATGATGTGGTGGTGCTGCTGTTATTTATCTTGGCTTAGCAAAGCCAGTTGGGGTTTTCCTGCCTCTCCATCGCTCATCGTTGTCAAAGAATCTTCATTGGTTAGCCCAACTGATGTCTGTTAACCTGACTCAAATCCAGAGGCACCAGTGCAATCCACAGGTTTGGATAAAGAAGCCTTGCAAGGCTTCTTAACACACTGTGTTAAGATGGTGACCAGCACCATAGAAAAGATGTGGCAGGAGCCTTGTGAAGATAATATCCAGGCTTCCGGCTGCAAAAGGCTCACAGAGAAAGACCAAGGAAGAGGATGGTGGTCAAAACCTCCTCAACTACATTTCTGCATAAGGAGGCAGGAGCATGAGACAGGCCCATAGTAAGGTATGTGGAATCCATGCACAAAAACTCATTGGCCTGAGCCATTCAGTACTGTGAGGATCTTCACTGTTGGGATCTGGTCTGAAGCCTGCCTCTAGGCTTCAGGCTGTCAGACTCCACTTAAAAAATGTGTTTGATTCTCACTTTGTAGATGTAGCATCTGTCCCGCTCGTTCTACTGGGAGGAGAGAGGGAGTTGTGTAATTAAGTGCAAATAGGGTTCTCATGATGCAATACAGACTCATATAATACTTCCCAGGTGCCACTGTCTCAAACAACTTGGCAGGAGTTTCCCAATTGCGAGGCTCGGCTTAAGAATAGCAGCAAACTTGTGTGGTCCTGCAGAAGTGCTCCTTACGTGCGGTGCTCCGATACCGGGCTTGGGAACAGCTGTGCAAGTCCATGCGTATGGCTGGGATGGTGCTTGGAAGGGAAGTTTGGGTTTTTTCTTGTGCTTTCCTCTCTCCCTCTTCCCTTACAGCCAACCTTCACTGAAAAACCAAATTCTGTAAGTTTATTGCAGGGTGGTAGTGCTGTCAAGATGCTGCAAGCGGCTGGTTGGTGTGGTGTTCAAAAAACAGCCTAGGACTTAAAAAGACCAACAATAAAACAATTAAAAAAAAAAAAAATCCACCCAACAACAGTAGAAAAAAATCAATGCAACAACTTTATATAAGTAATCCTTACAGGAAGCAAAGTGTGGAGGAGTACAGTAAGTCGCATCCAAATACAGGATGGCGATTTAGGAGAGCTGACTGGTTTTCCAGTTGCAGACATGCAAGAAAATGGGGAGAGCACTGGCACCGGTGCTGTGAGATGAGGGATGTGACTCCTGAGCCTGAGAGACTCTGCAGGGCCATGCTGTGATTTTCATCTCCCTCAGCACTGACATTCCCTCTCTACCGTGACCACGCTAGTTGGAATAGCCTTATTTTTCCTGCAAATTCTCTGCTGACAGATATTAGCTGCTTACCACAATCTTTGCCTTTTGGCTGGATCCCAGAAGCATTTAAACTTTTGGCAATGGAAATAGAGATAGGTGCTATTTTATTTATTTATTTTAATAAGTAAAAGTATGAGCCAATATTTTTTCTCCAAAATGAAGGTTCATCCCATCCTATCATGTTCTCACTGCTGCTGCTCCTGTCTCAGGCATGGCAGGTGGCATGATAAATGGATAATATGCTGCACAATCTGACATGGAGATTTATCAATCAAAACAAGCCCTGCTTTTTTTGCTCAACAGGAAAGTTCAATCGCTCTCCTCTGGTGGAATCAGTCAACACATAATGCTTTCAGCCCAAGATAATGTTAGACTGCAGATTTGGATCTGCTCTCTTGCTGCTTCAGGGCTATTTATATCTTTGTGCCTTGAGGGATTACTAATTAGCAGCCTTCTTCCACACCCTTTGATATCATTAACGTAATCTCAGTGTAAGCAACTGCTCTCTGATGATATCTCTGGAGGAGTGGAGAACAGCTGGAACCATTCTATATAGCAGAGCTGGAACACTTCTCCCAGAGCAGCAGTTGAAAGACTGCAATAATTTTGCCTGTGCAAGCAAAGCCAGCAAAGCACCCTGCCTTACTCAGAGTGGCCGTGGCCAATGGGCTGTCACAGAATCATTAAGGTTGGAAAGGACATTAAGATCATCTAGAAAGACTATCACGCTATGGCAGAGGTAATCTCAAATTGAGTCCAGAACTGGGAGGTACTGAGGAGGTTAGTGTGGGTTTTTCAGGCCATTGCCAACATTACCAGGTAAGTGCCTTTCGATACAATTATCATTCTTCTCTTGCCCTCCCTTACCTGCTTGTCTTGTTGGTTCTTTTATGGTCAAAAGACCCATAGTGCGTTAGAGGCAAAGTAACAACAAAATCAGGAGGTGAAAATCGGGAATTTGAGACAGCAGCTGAGAGCTCAGCTGGAATTGTTCAGCATTTCCCACACTGTTCAACCCTGTGGGACCCAGATTCTCACTGAGGAGAGCTGAGGACAAACCTAACACTGCTGAAATCTCAGCTCAGGTAGTTTCTAATAATGCAGTGGATAAGGTTTATTTAAACCATAATTGCTTGCATTTTTTTCCATATTACTCGCTCTGCTGTTCCATAACATTAGTTAATTTAAAGGCCTGTCATTAACTTAGCAACTCGCCCTGCAAAGAACAAAACTGTAAATGGGAGAAAGTTTTTTCTGCATTACAAATGTACTTCAGACCAGAGCAACACTGCTGCCTTCTGATAGCAGCTCCTCCTCAATAAATGAGCCCTTGTAGGAAAACATGTGGTTTCCAATAGCTGCTTTGATATCTGCCATTAATTCCCCACTCTTGCTTGCGTGGTCTCTTAGCAACTTCCTGCCCTTTGCTCCTTTTTATTCTTGTTCCTGTTCAAGCACTTCCTTTTGTTGCGAGTCTCTTGCTCCTCTTTAGACCGCTTTAGAGAAAGATAATAAAATCCTTGTGCAGATAGAAAGAACCAGCTACAAATGGCTGTACGAGTGTATTTATGTTTATAGCATGAAGCAAGGGAACAGGCTGTCCTGGGTTCTGGTTTCCAACTGCAGTGTAAATCCGTCAGCAAATATGTTACAACCCTGGAGAAGGGAGCAGAAACATAACAGCAGGCACTGCAGGACTCCAGCAGTTGTGTCTTACAAGGCTCCATATCTCTTAACTCCCCAGAAGTGTGAAAGATGGAGGCTTTCACCCCAAGTTAAAAGAGCAGCCATCTTCTGCACTCTCATCCTAAAGCAGTTGTTAATTCAGTAATGTCAACCCTCCCAGTCACTCAGGTAGAAGCATTCATTTGGTGACTTTCCTTTGCCAGGCTTCATGCCCGTTCTGTTTACTGCTCTATGACTGTGCCCCAGGATGACAATAAAATAGGGAGAACTGGCAGAGGTGGCTTTGAAGGCTGAGGGAAAAGATGTGGCAATGTCTTAATTTTTTATTTCCTTTAAATGTTTTGTATGCAGAGCCATGCTAAGTACAAACCCGATGACAAGCTAAGAGCATCTTAGCAAGTCTGCCTCAGGAGTACATCCCTGTTCTGGTGGAAGGAGATGACAGCAACACGTGCAAGAAAGGCTGGCTGAACTGGAGCCTTAATGCGAGGTCTCCACATCTTAATAGACTTTGAGATAAATGGCCTTTTCTTGTCTCCCATATGGTTTTGCTTTCCATGTAACGAGGGAATCATAATTCTGGCTGAAGGAAAGGAGCTGTCCGGAGATAGAGCTGAGAATGGAGGGAAGAGGAGGTGAAAGGAAAGGAAAATTTGAAGGGGAAGAGAGACTACGTCTGGAGAAGTCATTGTGCAGATGGAAAGTAACAAGATGAGCCTGTTTGGATGCAGGAACTACCAGGCAGCCAATTAGAGGAGAGCCAGCAGTTTGGGTGCAGGGCAGTGACTCTGTCTGTGTCTCTGTAGTGCTTTGCTCAGGAGGGTTTGCATCAAACACCCTCACACTGAGGGGCAGAGAACAGTGGCTTTCCTGGTCCTCTTCTTACTCTACACTTTTCTATTTTCTCTACTTTCTCCTAAAGTTCTGGTTTAGCCAAGAATTTAAATACTGGCTTTCTTAGAGAGAAGTACATAAATCCTGAAGTGCTCAGTGTGCGTTAGGCCAAATGCTTGCTTTAGCACTTTGCTGGTTTGGGCTCTCAGAAGAGCAGTTGAGAGGATAGAGGATCTTATTGCCACCAACAGCATTTCAAGTTTTGCTGAGGATGTCACTGGGACCATGACCTTGCTGATGCTCTTGAGAAGAGGTAGAAGCAAAGCACGAGTGGACCATGCTCCAAGGCTGTGCTTACACCACTAGCATTGTATTCATGGAGTAAGTTGGGAGCTCCAAACACCGTCTTTCACCCTAGCAATATTTTACGCTTTAACATATTATTTGTCGACGTTAAAAAGATATAAAACATATTAAAAGCCAAAGCTAATGCACTCAGTGAGAGGGCAGATCCATGCTTCAAGAAGTCTTTAGTTTTATAAACCAATTTAACCTGGGTCTATTAAGAGATTTTCCTAGTGACAGAGTGAGAGCATTTTCTCTGCTATAATCATATCAGCCTGTATTCTGGGTTAATGGAGATGAATATTACTGCCAGATTTTGTTCTTTCCCTGCATGTAATCTAATGCCAGATGGTTCTGAAGGGGTATTAAATCTCCCATGTGCATGACCTCCCCGAGGTTTTTATCATTAGAACCTTAAAATAATTCAAGGAAAGCTTTCCCAAAGCCTGATCATAAACCTCCTAATGAGGCACTGAAGTCACAAAGAAAATCCTCTTGTTAATTCCTGTTTGGTGTTTTTCCCCCTTTATGACAAATAGGCAGGAATTCACAGCAACAGAGATGCTTTTAAACAGTTTCAGCGGAAAACACATAAAAATGAGCATTCAGGTTAACAGTTCAGGTTCCCAGCAGGGTCTGGAGCTGCAGGAACGGATCAGCCATCTCCAGCCTCCAACACAGGGCCCAGCAATGCCACCATCCCTCACTGTGAGTACAGCTCACTCAGTCAGCAAGTGGCTGCTTTATTCCTAGTGCAACATAACACCTGGTGTCAGGATGAATATGACTCTGTGTCAGATGAGCAGCTGAACTCAGACCTCATTTGTGCAATAGTGCAAAGACATACATAAGCACCACCTTTACCTTAACTTCGATTGAGCAACTGCAGTTGAGTTCCTAAGAACTTCCTTAGAGTTTTCCTAAGAGTTTTCTGCTCCTCATCTGTACAGACCAGATGGCACATTTTTAATGACTTTATGTTTGGTTTTCTATTTCATGTTTACTGCATGACACCATGCCTTATTTCCGAGATCAAGTAACGGCAAGACAGGACTGTTCAGAGCCTCATGGGCTTTCTGTACTTCTCATTAACGGGTCATCCAAAAACCAACATAAGTATTCCTGCAGTCAAATCACATGTTGTGAGAATAGGAAGAGATGAAATATAATCAGATTAAAATAAAAAGTGTTTTCTAGTTTTAGGGTATCCAAACTGGCCAGAAATCTTATTTCTCAGAGACGTATATGTTATGCTTGTAAAACCCAAATCTTATTAATACCTATTGCAACTGGGAACACTCAGTGCCTTTGAAAAGCAACTCTTTTTTTTTCAAAAATACTAAAGGATGCTTCAGGTAGCTGAAGAAACTAAATGCAGTTCATCAGGTTGCCATTCAGGTGCATGGGACCACCTTGCCTTGCCCTGAAGCTCACCTCCCAGATGCACCTCCCAGCACATAGGAAGCATTTGGTCACTACTTGGTCAGTACTTGACTTTCAAGGTCAGGCTGAATGGGGCACCAAGCACCTGATAGGGTATTGCAGGGGAGTTGGACTAGATGAGCTTTAAGGGTCCCTTCTAATTCAAACAATTCTATGACTCTATCACTACGGATCAGCTCAGTGAGCAGTATATAGTTCCCTAGACCAGAGATGTTATTGCATACTTGTTATCACCTGCTCTAATCACATAGTGCACGTGTGTAGACATATGAAATGTCTGCTGCCAGACACAGGTGACCTCTTGGAGGGTTAGAGCTGAACCATGAGCTCTGTACAGGTACTTAAGAAAGCACCATCTTGGTAGACAGAAGCTCAGTTCATTAAACATCTCAATGGGATTCTATCCCAAGTTCCTCAACTCGACCCTTACCCAACCATGACTTCTCCACCCTAATTCCATCCCTATTTCATATTCATTGACCTCCAAGTGGATCTGAGGCCATCTTTCCCATTCCTTCCCTCTCACAGGTTCCTTATCAGCCTCATTAGCAGCACATGAGATACCCAGCAGCACTTCTGAGCCCTGTGCCTACTTTGAGCTCATTTTGTACGGCACCACCCACTCCTCATTCTCCCTCTGCCTTGCTCACACATCTCCATTGAGGGCAACCTGATAGCAGCCTGCCCCATCCAAAGCATCATCCCACCTGGATTTGTAGGGATGACTCTTGGCAAAGGCTTTAGGGCCAAAACCTTCTCTGAGAGTGGAAAAGATCAAAGCAGGCAAGGCCAGCAGCAGAATGGCATCACTGCTCTGGGTCTCTCTGTACTCCAGTGGCAGCAGCACAGGAAAGGCAAAACTGGGTATGGAAGAAATGGATGACAACACACAGAGCTTCTCACCCTGCAGACTGTGACATCCTACCCTGCGTGCAGTCTTTTACAGCCACGCACAAGTTGTTAGCTATCCCGTGCCAAAAATAGACAGATAAATAAATAAATAAATAAATAAATAGTCAATTTCTGTCTGCTGCCCTTCAAATGAAGTGAGGAGCAGTGCTGCCACCAGCCCTGGCTGGGAGGGTCCTGCTGGGTTAGGAGGACTGGGGCTTGGGCAGGGCCAAGGGCTGCAATTCCCAGAGGACCGCGGGTATTTCTGGCACACAGTGGGGCCCAGCAGCTCTTGGACGAGGAATGATTTTACTAAAAAAGGAACTTGGAGAGCATTGTGGTCCCGCTCTGCCTACATCAGGAGGGACATGGAGGCAGATGCCTGGCTGCATCCCCCTGCACTGCACAGAGCCCGGCACTCAGCAGCTAACTTCTACATGGAAACTATTAGCAAATAATAACACTTCCCTTTATAGCTGTGCATTTTCACGTTGCTGCTTTCATTTTCTTTCTTTTTTCTTTTTCTTGTTTTGTTTGGTCTTTCTTTTTTTTTTTTTCCCTCCTTAATACGTGGGTTTATTTTGTGTCACTAAGCACTAACAAGGACTGAGAAACTTTTAGATTGCAGTAATCTGAATTCCGTAAATAACAAAGTGACAAAGGTCTGTGATGAAACACAGAGTGCACCGTATCCACAGAAATAAGTACTCAGTGTTCCTTAAGAGATCATTGAGATAACCATGACATAACTGAGTACCTGGCTGCATCCACTTAAATCAGCTAATATGTTCCCAGAGCAGAACCATCTACCTTAGGAAAAGAAGCAGCAGTAAAGCCCTTACCAGTAGGAGAAATTAATGCATTCCACTCTGACAGAAATAAATTATTATGAATCAGTCTAAAAATATGTTTGTCCCGTGTGGGAGTACACACTCTTCTATTCATCAAGTGGCTTTCAAATAATGATTAAACATCTTAAGACAGAAGACAATTTTGCTCACGCAAAATAAACACCGCTAAAAGTTACGCGACAAACTTTTTTTTTTTTTTTTTTTTAATTTTAAAACATCTGCAGCATTCTGACCAAGAGTAGTTCCCCACAAGTGAGACAGACAGAATGTCTGCTGGGAAGGATGTGCAGAGGACTTTGATAACTGCAGTGTAATTTTTTTTTTTCTAAATAACTTTTACTGAATTAAATTTATATTTGGTAATAATCTTCCAGTCACACCTACGCTCTCAGTGGCATCTCAAATGGAGACAGATCAGATTTAAAGGCCGAAAGTCACTTTTGTGACATTTTGGGGAACAGTGCATGAGTAGGATGATGGTTTTTTTTGGTTTGGTGGGACAAGTTCTTGCAGGTATAAACTCATCTGTTAACAGAGGTGCTGGCTCTCCCACACCACTAGTTTCTGGCACTTGATTTTCCAGGTGTCTCTGGGCAGTCCCTGCAGACTCATCCTGGTGGCAATGCTCTGGTGGAATGTTCCTGGCTAAGGGAATGTGCAAGAACAAGAAGTTAGGCAAAATAAAAGGGCTTAACCATTAATAGTAATAATGATGAGATTATTAAACAAAGTTCACGTCTAAAGAAAATTTATCCTGTGAAACATTCCCAAAACTTTGCTCCATGGAAGAGGAATGAGAAACCCCTTCCCATCTGCTCTGCAGAGCAGGTGCAGCACAGAGCAGGCAGATACTGCCCAGTACTTAACCAGCAGATCTGGTGGTGCTGCTGAGGCTGATTCCACAGATACCTTTATTTGGAAGAGTGAGAGACGGGCCTCTTAGCTGCAGCATTTCCAGCAGTCCTCCTTTTCTTCAGCAGCACAATCATAATTTAAGGCTTAGCACTCATCCAACCCAAGCAGTGCTGAGAGGCGGTGCTTCCACTGATGCTTTTTCCATTACAAAATAGCATTCTATCCAAACATACTTTATTTGACACCAATAAATCAGGGCAGCTCCTTCAATCAGATCTGAGGCTGAACGAGGTTAAAGTTTTTTTTTTTTTTTTTAATTAAAAAAAAAAGCTTATAAAATTTGGTGAGTTTTCAAAGAAAACTTTTTCTGTTGTTGTTGAAGTGGCACAGCCCAGCACTCCCTGTTCCTGGCAGCAGCTCAGAAGGGCTCTGAGAAATGCATGTCTTGTGGCAGCTCTGACCCAAATGAAATCAAGAAACCTTGGATATCTCACTTGAGATAGATTTTTGTGGGTTTTCCAGTTTAAACAGGTGGAGATAAGCTAAGATAAGTGTCTGAGAGAGATCTGCAACATATGGAAGGTTCATCTCTAACAGAAATGTCTCTATTTTTGTGGTCTTCTCCTTCTTTTGAGATATGCCTACAGACACTTGATTAACGGCGGAGAGAGTTATGTAAATTAATGACTGGTTAAAATAGATATAGTAGAGAGGAGCTTTCATTCTCAGCTCCAGTGAATGCCTTCCAAAGGAGAGATTATTTTAATTGGCCAGCCAGTGCTTCAGGGTGGGTTTGAAATGACAGGAAGATCTTCAAAACCTCAGCTCTTCTGATGCTTTTCCCAGGGAACAAGGACAAAAGGAAACAACACACTTGTTCTGTTAGTTAGGTATTCTAAATGTGCTGCTTCAGATCAGATCAGAACTTTCCCTACCATGCTCACTATGCCAAAAAGAGAAACAGACAGCTTTATTTGCAGAACTGCTTTCACAAGTTGTACCACAGTTTATTTTATGATTTCAATACCTTCTGTATTTCTTTTACTCCATTTCTTCATTACTAACTCAACATTACCAAGTGTTGCTAAGTAACATCCTGTAGGCATCTATAGTTTTCCTACATGACTGCACTATAACTGAACATTAATACTTTGCAATGCAGTAACTACCAGCAATAGCCAATGTCTTACTTTAAGGGGTACCATGGTACATTCTCATAACAGCAGTATATGCCTCCAAATAGCACCCATCACCAGGGTAATTCAACATTCACCTCCTAGAGCTTGATGTCATAGAAGGTCCAACACCAGAGGAATGCACTTACCTGAAGAAGGGGCTGAAAAAGACATAGACCAAGACATATTTTAGCTTACCTCCTGCCTGGAATGATTTGCTGGTGTCAACTAGCATGGACAGAGTGAAAAATCCATGTCTCAGAAGACAGGCAATCATGGCACTGCGGTGATGTGAAGCAAGATGCTAGGACCTGGCTTCCAACTCACACTGAGTTCAGGAGTTTTCTGCCCGCATAAAATTTGAGAAGTCAGACATATAATTAATTACTGGGGAAAAACATCATTTTTCACCCTTTTCATTCCATGGTGAAAGAAACTAAAGGCAAAAAGAAAAAAAAAAAAAAAAAAACAAAAAAAAAAACCTTTAATAATTTCAAAATGTGTTTTCTCATCAATCTCCATTTGGTGTAACCAGGCTTGCAGGAAATTCTAAAGCTGCAGTGGGACAGAGGAGGGCTTTGGGGACACTGGGCATTTCAGAAACATAGCTCAGATTGTGCCAGGTGGTGTCTGCCTGTCTCAACCTTAATGATACTTTACAGTAAAACTTACTCTGAAGTGGAGTTGGAATGCGTGCGTGAGAACCTGTGTTCATACATGCACACATCTAGGCTGTACACACGTGTGCTGCTGCATACATGTTCACACATGCACAACCTTATCTAATTATACAAAATCTGAATTTCATGTGTAGTACTTCCCCCCTTTTCTTGGCTGAAGGTCTACCATTGACATGTTTCATGACATAATTCTTGTTTATTCCTTCTCAAGGAACTGATTGCTTTGCCATGTTCAGTGAAGTAATGAAACATTGAATAAATCTAGTGCATGATACTAAACCAATGTTTTATCTTATCCTCACCATGTACTCCGGTTTCTTTAAATGCATCTTTGCAGCAACCAAACGAGCCATAAATTAGTCATGATGATATTACAGCTGAATTTAATTTAAAGTCTCTCAGCAAGTTGTTAAGGGTTTCTTGCCTAGGTCACTCCTAAGGAAATTTGAAAACTCTGGTATGATTTATGAATATTGCTATATTACTAGAGTATAAAGGGCTATGGGGAATACAAACACATAAACCTCTGTTTAATTCAGCTCCAATAAAAATTTCATTTCTTATAGCAAAATAAACATGTAAATCAATGTTTAATGATTCTGTTGTTTTATTATGTAACTTATTATTTGCCTTTAAACATCCAAGCCAAATAAAATCTGGGACCCTGCTCATTTCTGCTGAAACACAATTAGTTAACAATTAGATCTGCAGAGGTTGCTTCCTTCAGTGGAAATAATAACACAAAATAAGAGAAGACAACCCAAGAAAAAAAGGCCTGGCTTCTCCTTCCCCCCATGTATAAACACATTAGCTCTGTTATTAGACAATTCCTCAATGTAAACATCTTTTTTCTTTTTCCCCTTGGAATTTACTCAGCTGTCTGGGGGATAATTACTTCCCTAAAATTACTATACATTCAGAGGTGCTTTTACCTTGAGACTTCTGCAAGTTCTGTGGACATACAACTTCTTTTGCTCTTCTCATCATGCAGATTCTCCTTGTTTAGGGGAAATAGTCCCATTGGTATTAATCTCCTTCATGGGACAGCAACTGGCTGCAGATAACAACAGGAGGGAAAGGTTAACTTCTGGGTAAAGGACTTGAAGATTTAGCCATTTTTTGTCAGACTTTAGGAGATACCTAATGATAATTTCTTCTGAAAGAAGCCGAAGTCACAAAACAGCTTATCACACATTTAGACTCATTTTAATCATCTGTTGATGTTCTAGATCTCCTTTAAAGAAGTAAGGACTGTGGGACTTCCACAGGCAGTAACACGGGGATGTTTTTCATCACTTACCCATTGCCATCCATAAGCACAAGGATCTGCTGCCTTTTGCAGTACTGTGCCATCTCAGTGTCCCTTGCCCTAGTGAGTGTGTAACTTCCTAAGCCAGCATCTTTTCTAACTTACCATAGGGACACATGCTAGTTCTCTGAATTATTACACACAGTCCTTGGTCACTGGGATACAATAATTCCCCAAGATAACCAGGTTTTCTCTTGTCAGTGTTGCTTGATCTTAGATGAGCCACTTAATCTGTTTCTCTCCCTATTTCACTGCCTATTTAAGTTGGATAATATTGGCACGACTAACCTGCTGAAGAAGGTGACTGTCTACACAAATAGCTGATGTAAGTTTAATATTTCTCAAGTACCAAACTGCTGAAAAATGCTGTCAGTCCAAAGTGTACACTGCTGTAATTACAGTATACAATGGAAATTGGGCAGCTAGGCAAATCTCCTTGTGCCAGCCTTTTTCTCTCCTACTCAACTTTGCATGTACATGTTCAATGGAAAAGAAATTTGAAAATTAAAGTGCCCTTGAAATTAGATCAGAAATTTTCAACCAATGGAGGATGTCTATTAAAACACGTCTATCAACATCGACTTGGCTGTTTCTTCTAGCTGACTCTGATCCTGTTGCTTCATGTGCCAAAATCCTCTATTCATACTGGTAAAGGAAGAAGAGAACATTTGGAGGAAAGGATCATGGCAGGTCAGGGGTCACCCCATCTATTCTCAGAGGCTCTAACACCTTGCTTTGCAATTTGCTTGTCAATGAATTCAGACATTATTATCCCATTTGGTTGGAAATTCCCAGCAAAATAGTGCTTGCTCCATATTTCTTCCATCCTGAGAATAACAGTCTAATTTTCTGAGGTTAGTATTACGTGCCTCAGGTGAAAGCCTTGTACAAAACTTTATGCAATATATTCTGTTTCCTCTGCTGGAGGAGCAAGAAAGAAAAATTCAGAAGGGTTGAAGCTTTAGTGTGAACAAGACTGCACTCCCACTAAATGCATGCTGTCTTGAATCCCTTCCCTCCCTCTTCTGGGTCTTCAGTTGTAACTTTCTTCCATTTGGGAAATGCCTGGCACATTTTGGGCACCACCAGAAACAAAATCAACCTTTCTACCTTTCAGCCACAGCCAGTTCAAGGCATTTTGGAAAAATAATCTGCTTTCACTTTGGGCAGAAATGGAACAGGGGACAAAGAGGGACTTTTCATTTCTTCAGCACCATGTTCCCGTAGGGAATTATTAGGATTTCTCATCCACCTAAATGATTCACAGTGGAGCCATACCACATTATGTCAGTCAAGTGTTTCACTGCCCACCAGGTTTGTACATCTTCAAGTAGAATAGAGCACAGAATAATTTGATTGCGTGCTATTTTGTTACAAAAATGAAAAAACTTGGGCTATTCGCCTCTGGTAAAATGGCCAAGAAAAGAAAAAGCAAACAAAACAATAGCCTGGAGATAAAAAGCCCCAAAGTCCCAGAAAATGTCAACTCCAAGAAATGTGGTGGGTGTAAAAACCACAAATTAAGCTTTACATTCATATACAGCATCAACGTTTGTTTCAAACAATGCTCAATGGTGAGAGCTGGGAACCCTGTGAGTGCTGCCTCCCACTGCAGACATGCCTCCCATTCCTTGCTCTGCGTGTCCCACGGCTGCTCCTTCCCACAGATCCTTCCCATGGACAGCCCTGCGCAGCCACCATCTGTTCTGCACTGCGCCGGGAGCAATTCTGCTTCCTCCTTGCAACACTCTTTCCAGTAGGATGGAAGTGGGGTTGCTCCAATAGCTGGGGTAATACCTCATGGCACTGTGCAGACAGGGACCAGAACAGGTCACTGGATATGGATCTACCTCTTACTCTGCATAAATTTTTGGGGAGCTGTGGAATTCATGGACCTTCTGTGGATCTAATAGAGTATTGAAGGTGACTCATGACTTTAGCCCAGAGTACACAGCATTCATCCAGCACAAAAATCGAGACAGTAATTAATCCTGATTTCCCAGAATAAGTCAAGAGAGGAAGGAAAATTTCAGCTACATTACTAATACTTGCAAAATAGTATCATTGAATCATACAATGGCCTAGGTTGAAAAGGCTCATCTACTTCCAACCCCCTGCTGTGTGCAGGTCACCAACCAGCAGACCAGGCTGCCCAGAGCCACATCCAGCCTGGCCTTGAATGCCTCCAGGGATGGGGCATCCACAGCCTCCTTGGGCAACCTGTTCCAGTGCATCACCAGCCTCTGTGTGAAGAACTTCCTCCTAATATCTAACCTAAACCTCCCTTGCCTTGGTTCAAAATGATTCCACCTTGTCCTATTACTATCTACCCTTGTGGATTTCTGGACTAAAAAATATATCACACCAAATCTTTTTTTTTCCCAGCAAAATCTCCAAAATTTGACCAGCATTGTTTTTTCTTTGTTTGCTGAGCAAATACTTACTGTCATACATGAGGAACAAATACACAAAATCTGTAGAGTACAAACATCCTCAGCTCTGCAAGACCTCAGTAACTGCTAACGATATTACAGAAGCTATAATGCACAGAGTGCTTCAGTGGAAAAAAGTACTTTTAAACAGCCTGTGATTTCTTATTACACACCACTGAAGTATCAGAAACTATTTTAAAAGAGTCTTTATAAATATAAACGTGTTTTAATGCAATTGGCATAAGATCTCACTGAACCAGTGAGTGGAAAAGAATATTCTTGTATAAACCTACTTTTTCTCTGACCTATACAGTTTTTGGAAATTAATCTAGATGCTGTTACATCATGCAGAGAAGGGAAATACACAGTAGGACTTAAAATCTTCAATCAAACTCACTTGTGCTGTGGTATTTGTGAAAAATAAATGCTTGCCCACCTTCAAGACATTCCCAGGGAGTTTGCATGGTAGGTGTGCTCAAATTTTTCGAGCGTGAAGGAGCTCCTGAATAGCTGGCAAAGTGAGCTAATGTTGAACTAACATGAACTTCATGCAAATTTTTGAGATTGCCAGAGCTGCTGGTTGAGGTGAACTTGTAGTAACAGGCTTGTCAGAGAGCTGCCTGTCTGGCAGGCTGCATGCTGCAGCTGGAGCTGCCTTGGCTTGATTCTGCTCTGAAGCTGGGACAAGCTTGTGCAGCCCGGCTATAAACACTGAGCTACGGAGGAGACAGAGCAACCCAATAGCACCAGAGCAACTGAATGTCAGGGCAATCCCAGAGCCAAGTCAAATCTTCAGAGAAGCTCGAAAGGGAAAGTTTATTGAGACCAAGATTGGGTCAAAGCCCATTTCAGGTGTGCTTAGGAAGCTGTGGACTTGGGAGAGATGACTTTCTGGGATGCCTATAGCTGGAAAGGCATCTCTGCCTTGAGACAAGAAGAGCCATGGAGCTGCACATGCGGAGCTCAGCTCCATCCACCACAGCAGTGAGACAAGACCTCCAGGGAGAAATGGAACCTTAAATAAAACCCAATATAAAAATGAAACAAAAGTCCAAATGGGTAAGGGGGATAAGTCAGGGGGAATGGCTTTAAACTAAAGGAAGGGAAATTTAAGTTAGATGTCAAGAGGAAATTCTGTGCTCACAGGGCAGTGAGGCAGCGGCACAGCTGCTCAGAGCTGTGGGTGCCCATCCCTGGAGGCGTTCAAGGCCATGTATGGGGCTCTGGGAAGCTTGAGGTGGTGGGGGCAGCCAGCCCACAGCACGGGGTTGGAGCTGGGTGGGCTTTGAGGTCCTTTCCAATCCAAGCCTTTCTATGATTCTATTCTCTATGGACAACCTTCACCAGCTGCTGCTGTTTTTCCCTTCCCAGCTCACTGTCGGAAAGACTTCGCTGATATTTCGCCAAATGACATATAACAAATGGCCAACGAAGCAAACAGTAAGACCAGGCCAGAAAGAAAAGAGAAAACATCTAAAAGATGGACAAATGAGTCTTCAGAGAATATGAGCAGCAGAGAATGCACTGATTTTGTGTCTGGTACATTTTGCTTCATTTCTAGTAATTCACACCCTGTAAGATTTCTAGAAACAAATAGATCAAACATTTACAAAAAAAAAAAAAAAAAAGAAAGAAAAAAAAAAAAAAAAAAAAAAGCCCAAAAAACGCAAGCTGACCACTTCAGCCAATGAAAAACTGGATCCAAGATGAGCAGGGAGAAAAACACAAGATTTCTAACTGTTCTGACAATCAAAACTGATTATCATTGTGCCAACAACTTAGAATTCTTCCACTTCTAATTTTAGGTGAAAGAAGTAAATAAACAGGATCATTTCTTCTATCCCTGAACTCTGTCAGTAGGATTCCTCCCACCTCTGCTGCTTTGCACTAGATGGTCTGCAGACCCCAAACATCACCTTTGGGTGAAGATCTGTGTTTCCTTTTTGGAGCTGACCAGTGTTTAGCACACTGCTGGAGCTAACCAAGCCTCCAGTGACAAAGCCAACCAATGCAGTGAAGGCAGCAAACCTTCCAGTATCACCACTACGTACCCCAGTGAGTCGCTGCTGTCACCAGTGCTGAGGGCTTTAATGCACCCTCTGGGTGTGACACTGGAGAAAACTTTGGAGAAGATCTGAAACAGAAAACATAGTGGGAACAAGGTTGAAAAAGGCAACAGGAAGTGATGAAAAAGAGAATTGAAAAAAAAAAAAAAGTGTAAAATTTGTATATAAACAAAAATATACAAAGATAAAAATATGTACATATAAATAAAAAATAAAAAATTATAGATAAATAAAAATATAAATAAGGAAGGTGCTGGAACAGGCTGCCCTGAGAGGCTGTGGATACTCCATCCCTGGAGGTGTTCAAGACCAGGCTGGATGCAGCCCTGGGCAGTCCGGTTTATTACCAGATCTGAAGTTTGGTGGCCCTGCCTGTGGTGGGGGTTTGGAACCTGATGATTCTTGGGTCCCTTCCAACTCAAGCCGTTCTATGATTCTATGATGAATCGTAATAACAAAATAATGCTCATTCATAGCCTCATTACGAACAAGCAATAACTGCTTATGGGCAGATTCTTCCCAGGACCACTCTCCACATCTGTATTTTCCATTAAGATGGAGGAAGTGTCTCTGGAGCACATGCTGCTGGTGTCTCTCTCTACCCAGTGACCATGAAAATCAAAACTGCGTCTGTTACACAAATATTGGGAAATAACTCTCTAGATAAGCTGTGCATGTATTTGCAAGTAAAGTATGCAGCCATACCAGTCTGTGCACATAAAGCACACAATTTGTACGTGCAAATAGGAGCTCCAGACAGGTTAATGCTTTACAGGAGACCAAACTCTCAACCAGAAATGCAAATCCAGAGGAACTGTTACTACAGCCACAGCAGCAAGTGACAACAGGACAATTACCCCCAGTAACCATGTCTTCATCTCTGGCTGAGCCTCTCGCACGATCCTCCCTCGTTTCCTTTATCCACGATTATAGCTCAGATAAGAATTCTCCTACCCTCACCATCCAATGTCTGTACAATCTTACAGGCATGGTTCAGACCGATTACACTTGGCTACTAGACAGAAAATTGTATTTGACTTCTGGTTTTCCATTTCTCCTCCGGTTTAATTTTCTCTTAAGCTTAAAAACATTTCCATTAAATAAATCATTTCCTTTTTCTGGGAGGCTGAACCAAAAGCCACTAAAATCTCTGACAGTCTTTTCATTAGGGTACCAGGGCTTTACGTTAGACTTTCAATTAGATGTAGTGAATGCAGAAGTATAAAGAAGTGAAAGATAAAGGAGGGGGAGGTAGGAAGTGGAAAAGTTCCACCAACGTTTACAAACCTCTAGGGTTTCATTTGGCTTTACGTTAAGTTGAGGTCAAAGGTTTGGGACAGCTTTTATTCTCCTCATTCCCCATTTGCTCTGATCTTCTTTTCCAGAGGGGGAATCCTGACAGATGAGCTGTGAAGAGGGAAGAATCAATCTGATAAAGCTGGACTCAGAGCTGAGTAATGGAGCAACTACTTTGCATTGCCCTGAGCTGGGAGCACGGGATGAGGTTGCTAGTGGGAAACAGTTCACTTGGGGACAGTATTTTACAACGCCTCACCAGGGGGATAGATGTTTTGTCCTCCAGAAGCAGAGGGATCTTGGGTGACTCCACTGCTGTCCCACCAGCCTTGGCTTCATTTCTTGCTGACAAGGCAGCAAGAAATGGATTTTGGTGGTCAAGTCAAAGAGATATGAGTGATATGAGTCTGTAAGGAGAGATTGTATCTTTAGGTTAACTTACTGTTCTTAATTTTCAGCTGATGTACTGTGAAAATCAGAGTGGATTCTGGCCTGTCTTCTAGCTAAATTCAGAGTAAGTACAAATGGACAACAATTGCTGAATTTAACCAAAACAAGCTAATCTGTTAGATAATTTGAGGAAAGAAAACGTAACAGGAACCTGGTAGGAGAGAAGGATGTTTGCAAAAGGTGCTGATAAAACCTGTCGCCTGGGGGGCACATGAGAGAAACAGGGACCTTTCAGACCACTTTTAAACTATCAATACAATCTAATAGTCCATCTCCTGAGAAACCTCTAATATTTTGGGAGCTGATTCTTCTCAAACACCTGGGTTACATCATGATGGAAGCAATGCTGGCTCCATGGGACAGACAGCCCTGAACACCTGTGCCTTCAGCTCTTGTTCTCTCCATGAGTTTGCTTGCACAAGTCTGGTGAAGCCCTGCTTGGAGCAGAGGGACCAGATGCTGCTTACACACACATGCAAGTAGCTCCACTGTAACCAACCAGTAACATGAGATAATTTAAAAACAAGCCTTCCTTTGTCCCATACAAATAATATTTTCATTATTCGTGTTCAAGAGGCTAAGCAGCAAAAACGAGGCTTTCTTCTTAATAAAAAGCTTATGCTTTTAAAGCAAACAACACCAAACTGGGGCTGCTGGAATTTTGCTCACTGTGGAGGGCACAGCAGAACTGATAGGGAGTGTTGCATGGTGATGCACCCTCAAATCTCTTTGGAATAATTAAAAACACCATTTAACACAACGCTTTCAATTTGTTCCCATTCCTACCTAGGATGGCTTTTCTCTAGAAGTGAGTCTGTTGGCTCTGCATTTTCTCACCTCGATCCCAGGAGATTTCCCTCTGCTGAGGTGCTGGGCTGCTCCATGCACCCACTCTGTAAGCAAACAGGTCATTGCAGCAAACCATAAGACACTTGAAGCTTTAGTTGCACAAACCATGTGAGGTCTTTTTGCATTAGGGATAATCAGGTAAAGAGGCTTCACCCCTTTGGCTGAGAATCACAGTTCTTAGGCATACTATAGACACAGCTGTTTAGGATATGCAGGAAAGACCCTGATATGTCCTTAACACAGTTCCCTGAGCCTTTGTACTTTTAGAAATGTGCATGCTGCCACTGCTATTGATTCCACTTGAGCTCTGATTTGTGAAAAAAAAAAATATATGTATCTCTTCCATTAAATAGGTACCTACCTGTACATATTCTCACAATTCTCCAGAAGCTTGGGGGAATTGCATGTAAATGGCTGCTGCTGAAACACAAGCACTATGTGCTGGTGCAGGAAGTCAGAGCCAGCTTTCTGGGATTAGATGTCCCTGGCTAACCTCAGCTGTTAGGAATTACTTTGGAGCTTGGCCTTAGCAGGTGAGGGGGAACCACCAGGAAGAGAACAAAAGGGTTTCTCTCCCTTCTGCCCCTGCTTCCTCCCTTCCAGGCCTTGGGCAAATGTGGTTTTAATTCAGAAATACAAATGTCACCTCCAAAATCACTCTAGGGAGGAAGGAGAGCTAAAGAAAATTCATTTGGATTGTAATTTATCAAGCTTTTTTTCTTAACATCTGCAGCGATGAGAAATGGGAAGCCGGAGCTGGGCTGCTGCACAATGGCAAAGCAAAGAACTTCTCTGCTATCCCAAACAGCCTCTAATTCTTGGTTTTCTTCAAGGACAGCCCTTTCCTAATGTAAATAAACTTGTCATCCTGTGCAATGTAGGGAAAACAGCTCTACCTTAAGTGCTGCTTTTGGAGCACTTTGAGCTACAGGTGGCACCGAAAGCCAATTGGGAGAGTAAAGCAGTAAAGATCCAGGTTTTTTCCAATGTTATCCCCCACCTTGTGCTTTCAGAGCTCTCCAGGCTGGGAGCTATTTTTGTTTCCTGCAGGTTTGGACAGCCACAAAGCCGGGGCTGTGTACGTGCTGCAGCTCTGACAGCAGACGTGAATAATAGAAATGGGCTCTGAGCATAAGAAGCCACTCGGCGCGCTCGCTGTACTTTCCTAATGGATATGACATTGACATAATACACCCCGGGGTGTTTTGGATCAGATGGCGTTTTCCTGTTCCACGTGCTGCTTTTATGAACAGCCATCAGGTTGTGGAACACATGTCGCAGCGTGGGTGGCGGGCGGCCCTCCATCCCGTGTGCAGGGTGTGGAGATGTGGCATCACTCCACCTGAAGTCCTTCTGGCATTAGGGCAGAGGGGTTCTGATTCCATGGCAGGGCTCGTGGTAGATGCTGCTGAGATGCTGCTTCAGGCTGATGGGTATATGGGGCCATGTTAAATGACCACAAGGAACACAGAAGTGCAACCAAACACACCCCAGCAGGGCTGACCTGTAAGTTGAATTTGCTCCTCATCGCTATAAAATTATTTCCCAAGCACACAGGTTGGGTGGGAGCATCACAGTTCAGCAATAATCAGCCCAAACCCCTCATCTCCAGGCTGTAAGGCAGCATCCCCCCAGTCAGACATGGAGCTGCAGTGGTAAATCACCAGCAGGGAAAAACCCCTCCCCTTCCACATCCCTGCTGTTCGGAAGGAAACATCCATTTCTGCACAGGCAGGAAGGACTAATCCCTTTGTGATTTCCTCCTCTAAACCCTTCTCCCTGACACCCCATTCCAGCTTTCATCCTCCTATCTGGGCTATTTAGTCTAGAGCAAGGGAGGCAGAGAGGAGTTGTGATAACAGTCCTCAGTTATGTAAAAGGCTTCTCCAAAGAGATAGGCAATAAATTGCTATCCGTAGTGAAAGCACAGAAAGTAATGGGCTTAAATGCAGCAAGAGAGACTTAAAAAAAACAATCTAGGAAAATCTTCCTTGTTGCAAGTACCATTGGAAATCACTTGGGAGGTTTGGGGGCTCACCGCTGTTGGCAGGGTTAGGGAAACACATCAAACAAACAAGTGTCTTTTTGCATAGGGCCAGATGAGATTACCTCCTTGGGTATCTTCAAGCCCTGTTTTCTTCTATGCTGTGGTAATAACAGTCCCAGCCTTGTTCTTCACTGACCATGACAGAGCCAAGGAAATACCCATGATGGAGGGAGGAGTGAATGCCCTACCATGGCAGGCATTGGGCTTCCTTTCCCTCATTGTCTCCTGATTCTCTTTGTGTTTTTCAGCATAGGATGGCACTGATGCCCCTGGTTCAAGGAAATCTGAAGCCAGAAGATCTGGTGAAGACTCCAGACATCATGCAGCAAACACAGCTGCTGGGTTCTGCAGGACTCAGAAGATTCCTCTGCTCACTCCTAGATCATCTTGTTGTCTCTTTGATAGTCAGCAAAAGAAACTCAAGCATACTAAGAGGTGTGCAGTCACAAATGTGCATCTCTGAAGAAGTCACACTTCACCAGCCTCCCCTGAGGGGACATGGGGACATCACTGCAAGTGATACTGTTGAGCAGAGTTGCTTTGCTGAGTGTAAGATGACCAAACAACTTGGACTGAGATTGTATTTGCTGCTGGTGAAGCTTGGTCTTACACAGCTCTTCGAAGCAGCAGCATCTTCCGGGATGCTCCACTCCAAAAGGCACTTCTTGCCAAATCCTGCTAAAAACGGGGCTGATCATATGTTTACTTGAGGATATCCTTAAGTACTTTGCTGGACGGGGGCCTTATCCAGCTACATTTCAGATTCTTAGAGATCAGTAGGGATTGATTAAACTCTCTGCATTACCAGGGGGTGGACATCTGTGTGTGTCAAAATAAAGATATTCTCCTGAAGATATTTCTTTCCTGTGTCTCAGCTCCCTTCAGTTCCCAGTCAGAAAAGATGGTCAGAATCAGAAAATAGTCATTGTCTTCTGATCAGCAAAAAGATGCAAGTGAGCCTTAACAGGTGTAATTTATGTCATTACTGCTGATGAAGTTAGTAAGCTTTAGCAAGGAGACATGGATCAATAGTTATTTGAGAAGATGCAGCTGCAGATATCTAAATGAGCACGGACCAGAGAGCGAGGTGTAAATGGTAATAGCAGAATATTTAAACCAGATGAGAGCTATAAGGTAGTGACCTTGAAAGAACCAGACAAGTAAAAAAAAAAGTAAAGAAGGGCAACAATGATTTATATACTTGCTCTGCACAAATATTACAATGCTTATTGAATGGTATAGTAAATTATGAACAAAGTAGAGCTTTATTAGATTAATGACAAGGGAATTTATATAATAAGGTTTGTTCTTTTGAAAGTAGGCAAGAGAAATGAGTTTTTTATTAACTCCTGTGTTTCCAGGCTTGAACATTTCTCTTTCTGCCATGGAGTAATCTGACTTACACTTGGTCATTGCACATCCATTTCTAGATCCTTGTAACACTGATAGAGCTCAGTGCACAAAGAGAAGTGCAACACCAGGAGGGGACCCATGGAAATACTAAGTGCCACAATCCAACAGCTCACCAGAGGCTTGTTTCGGCCACTGTGGAATCAGGAGAGTGTACGGGTTGCCCAAAGGCTCCCATTAACTCCCAAACCATTCTAATGATTACTATAGTGATGTCCAGACCCATCTTGGTCTTGGATCATACTTGTATCTAAAAAAGACAACAAAAGACAGCCTCCACCCATAAACATTTACATCTAGCAAGGCAGGGCAAATGTTGGTGGGAGATGTCACAGCATGATTGCACAAAACGATGGCTCAGCATCCCCAGATCTCACCTCTCCCTGTGATGCCAAGTCTTGAGAGAAGCTAAAGACATTTCTGTCTACAGTAACAAATTTTTTTTTCTGAAGGGATTTGATTAAGGAAAAATAAGGAGAAGAAATAAAATCCACACTAGACAGTTTTTAATATATGTAGTTCTTTTGCAAAATGCATAATTAATCCCAGCTTGCTTATATGAGTGGAAAGGAGAAATCAGCCATCACAGTACTTGTAATTTCATATAGGAGTATATTTATAATCATACCAAGTCCTAGCGGTGACTTTCACAGCTTCTTAGACCACCATCAATCTAGGAAAGAGACAACCCTACAGGGAGGGGCTGGGGGCACAGTGTGCACCAGTTAATCAGGACACGATCAGCTACGTTACTGGGACACTTCTGTCTGCTGATCACTGGGGTCTGTGATTGCCTTTTACTGCAGAAGGAGCAACTGGCTACGTTCTCCTCCAGCCCTGAGTCTGCACTGAGTGAAACCAGTGGCCAAATTCTGGCTGCTGTCACCAGGATCAGGCCTGAGGAGCTGGCACCAAGTGGTTTGCTGCTCAGTATTCACTCTTTGCCTTGCATGGGTGACCCAAAAACCTGACCCGCAGCCCAGCGAGCCCCTTTTGGGTTTCACTGCACTCCAGATCAAGTCGCAAGAGGACAATTAGAATGTATGAGCTCAAGTAAAAATGGATTATTGCGCACATATTCTTGTCATTTTCATATGCTTCTTTTTGCTCCAAGTAAGAGCCGTTGCCCAGGTGTAATGCAGTCAAAGTAAGGTTTAGCTAAGAGAGGTTAATATTCATACCCAAAGGAGCTGCTTGCAGGGGAAAAATAGGATAGCTAAGAAATAAAAAATATTCAACAGCATCACCACCCGCAGAGAATTATTTTCACAGGTAGGATAGTGCAGACACAGCTGTTATGGAAACATGGATCTTCAGCTCCATTACGTTATTCTGTTTTTCCTTCCTTGTGAAGTGTGTTGAAAAAGTGGAATATGCTAATAAACCATTCTAATTCATCTCCCTTGAAGTTTTGTGTGAGCAGACTAAGTCATTCTGCTTGAAATCCTTAATTCCTATATAATTATTTTCAGTAGTATTGTCCTTAACTCTCTGCAGGTTTCTAACAAATTTAAGAAAACTGAGGGTCTTCTGGAATTATGTGCTGTACTTTCGCACTGGTGACAGCTTGCATTTAGCTGATGGCTGCTTTCTGTTTCAAAAATTGTTATCGAAACCTAGCAGTCCATGACGGGGATTTGGACAAGGAGTGTTCTCCATAGTCCTCTCATGTCCAGTCCTCAACTATTCCAGGCTCTAGGATCTAAAAACTGGAGTATTTCAACCCTCTTTTTCCTCTGACCTAAGCAGAGGATAAATATGCACTTATCAGTCCCCAGCAGCCACAGTCACCTCCTGAAAGCCACATCCCACAACGCATAACTGTGTGTCTGCAGGGAAGGCGGTCTCACGGGACTGGGGTTGGACAACTTGAATCCATCTGGGAATGGAACAAGCTGGGACAGGGCCCACCACTTCCGCTCAGCAGCGACACCGCCTGCAAACGCGCCCTTTTGCCATGAGAAAAGGCAAACAGGAGGCATGAGAAAAAGGAGGACAACTCCATTCACCCCACGATCCCTCCATTCCTCCTGTGTCTCCATGAGAAATGGGAAGCTTTGGCCCTGCGAACGGAGAGTCCCTCACACCTGCAAGGTCCACGGGCGGCCTCATTTCCTCTCTCCTCCACATCCTCCCACACAAATGGCTCTATCTATCTGTTAAACAGAAATAATGCAATGGGCTTTTTCAGTGGAATATTTCAAGATCATCTGTCCCTGTATCTATAAGCTGGGGACTGGTTTTCCTAAGGAATCTGCATTTTCTGAAGATTACAGGAAACTCTTTTAAAAGGAAATTTGTTATTCTTTGGGAAATTTTTGCCCTAACAATCTCATCTTCCTTAAAAGCAAGCCTCATCCAGATGGATTCATTGGGAGTTCAATATTTCTGATTTAAGTAATCATTAAAAGCCCATCAAGCGTACTTCACAGTTGTTTATAATAAAACATTTTAGCCTGATGGTGCAGAAAGTGTCATGATTGCAAAACACTGAAAAGTAGAGCTAACCATGAAATGGTAAAAAACACAGAATGCAATAATAATAATAATAATAATAGGAATCCATTGTGATGAAATGCAATGTCCAATACCATCTTAACACAAAATAGTAAAAATGTCAAACTTACACCTGCCTGCGAAATACTTGCTTTTGATGAAATTGCTTCCTACAGAAATCCCCACAGAACTTTTTAACTCTACTTAGTCAGTGAAAAATAAAATAAAATAAAATAAAAAAATCAAAGAAGAAGATTTTCATTTCCTTTTCTACATGAAAAAAATGTCAATTTCATGAGGGAAAGGTCAGCTGTTCAACAGAGTGCTGGGGCACTTTAAAGAACTTGAAGTCTGCACCTGGACTTCCTCACATCCTCGATATTCCCCTCCTTCAGCACAGCTGGGAACCTCTGTTTAAAACTACGTTTCTTGTACTTTGTGCCTTCATTACGCTGCTGGTTGCATCACTTTTTCTTAAAATTTATTCCTCCTGTAATATTTGCTGGATTGCATACAATAAATACTGCCAAATGTCATAATACCAGCTACACAGCTATAGATGTATTAAATATATACTCTGACAAGTCTAATAAATAGCCATCCATTCACATTACAAATAAGCCCAATTTCAGTCCAATGAATATTGCAATAAATTTGTTCTAACTGAGACATCTGTATAAATATCAGTAATAAGATAGATCAGAAAGGCTAAACATGCCAAGTAGATTTTATTTTTGTAAAGAGACTACAAGAACTACTTCTTCCCCTTTGTGGAAAAAAGAAAACCATCAAAACCAGTGAGGAATATAGGACAAGGAAAGGAGGAGGTTACTGAGCAAGCTGCAGTTTATTTAGATGAGAAAAATGAAGTATGCAAAGCAAGACGTGTTTAACTAAGTGTCTACAGATGTTGCTCAATTTTTGTATGCACTGAAAGAGAAATCACTTTGTTTACTTGTCTGGTTCTTGTTCCTAATGCCATTACCAGTAGCTGAAAACATCTACTGAACACAGGTATTTTATTTTTTTCACCTGCAGTGGTGATGGGGTGGGTATTGCAACCAAGGATCGTCTGCCAAAACTGCTGGAAAATATTCCAAGCATTTGGCTGACTGTTCAGCAGCCTTATCAATACCTGCTGCATCAGCTTTTCCTCACCTGCCATCCACTATTACTATACATCACTATATACTTTGACGGATACCACAAGCACCTCACAGCCCCAGCAGGAAAGGCAGGGCTGTCTGTACTTCTCACACCCAAAATGCTGTTCACTTGCTGTCGGTTGCAATGCCAATACATGCCACAGTTCTGTGTTTATTCCAGTCTGCTTAGTTTAATACCACTGTCCCTCTTTGGACACCCCTGAGCCCTGGGATCAGGAGATAACATTACTGATTACTGATTTCCCCTCAATGTCAGACCTATAGAAGAAATACAAGAGCTCTACTGTTGCACAAGGTGTGTTCATAACCTTCTTCCACAGGGCCAAACTAATGGGTCACATAGTCCACACTGGCTTCTAACTGCACAGATCTTTTAAGGACAGTAGAGTCAAATTAAACAAGGAAAAATAAGGAATATTTCCCACATTCCTCTTCCCTCATCAGTAGTGTGCACTAAAGGTACTAAAGGTCGTCTATAGGAACTGAAGCTACAGGCAGAGCACCGGTGATGTGAAAACAGCAATTTTCCAGAAGCCTATAGACCATGGCAGTAGAATAAACCATATGTGCTTATGCAGAGAGCTTGGTTACCTTGTCTTCTGTTCCTTGGGGCAGTACTGTTTGGTGAGTTTGAAGTCTTCATCAGTTGTGTCATTTGACAAAATCTTTCTGGAAGTTGACATATCTATAGGAGAAGAGGCCAAAGATGTTTGCAATATTTGCTCCTTTCTTCCCTCTGCAGTCACCCACGCAACATTCCTCCATGAAGGACTGCAATTTTTGCTTTCATTTGAGAGCATCTGCATTTTTCTGAGAGTCTGGTTGTGGTGTGGTGCACTCAGAACTGATGGAGCATTGTAGGTTTCTCAACAAAGCATGGAACCGGCAGATTTTAAGCAGAGGGTCAACTGGGAAGGAAGAGCCTTTTTCTACTGATTGCTTCAGAGTAGCATCTTGTTAAATGTGGGGTATAGACACAGGAAAGCATGAGCTTCAATTAATAGGTCAGAGACTGTGTGCATCTAATTATAAACCCATCTGGCCCTAGCCTAAGCATATTAATCTTAGTCCCAAAATACAAATCTGCCTGCAGAGATGCAAAGCAACAACAGCCCATGCAGTGACTTGCCACCCTCAGACTGTCCACGTTGTTCTCTCTGTTATCAGAGTTTATGTTTTGGACATTTGGACTCCAGAGGCTGCCTGCTGCAGAGCAGGAAAGCTGCACGGAGGATATGCTGATTTGTGACAAATCACTGCAAGGACAAGGGGAACCTTTCCAGAGATTTCACTGTCCGTCTGTCTCCACATGACGTGCTGCAAAGGTTAATTGTTTTGAAATTCTCATTTTTTATTTGCGTTACTGATCAACTTAGCAATTATAAATGTTAATATATTCTTCAGTGGCCTTAACTTCAGATATTGAGACTATTGCACTAAGTAAGGATTCCACAGCTTGTCTTGATTTATTAAGACTGGAGTTATTCTGAAAACTCACTGAGTTACAGCACTCAAAGAAGCATGTTTTCAAGTTATATCCTTAATTATCTTTAAAGCAAGACAGACCCATTTATAACACTGTGGTTTAAATCAATGTAGTTAATTGTCATTTAAATCAGAACCAAGAAAACCCAATTCAGGTAACTTGGTCTGTATTGCATTTGTGCCTTCTAACAGATACTCCTAAGAAAGCGTTACTCTGAAAGACTAAAAATGAATAGAAATGTTTAATTACAAAACAAAACAAACGTAGCTCTTTTGTAGTGATTAATTGCTTTTGTTCACTGAGTGAACACACTGTGTGTGCATCACCACATAACATCAGCATTTACTTTGTCCTGATTTTTACATCTGACAGGTGAAAAAAAAAAAGTACGTGACAGTTTTAGTCATTCAATTACCTTTTTAAAGTGTTCTGCGTCATGCTGCTCCTAAACAAAAACACGCAGAAGAGTCTAATCATTTAATTGTGTCCTGAATATTTTAGAAAATATTACCAAAACATTCAATGCACGTCAAGGTAGCTCTGATGTACCTAACATTAGAGATATGATTGGTAATTAATGACCTGAGCTATTTTTTTCCTTGCTTCCATATTTTCTGAGGTCAGAATTTGTTGATCTCAGACTCCCACACACACCTCTTACTCATAGGATAGGAGAGGGTAAACTGATTTTCCTCTTGTTTCAACTCCCAGCTGTTTTCACAGCTTGGAAGATTCCAACTGATGAAAAGTGGATAAAAGAAAAAGATGCTCCTTTTGCACCTGCAAAAGAGGCTACAGCTGTCAAGAGCTGCTTATTACTCATGGAGCTCCTACTCCAGGTGTCTAGCCAGTCATTTCTCCAGTTTAGTCATTTGACATTCTTTACAAATTCGGCAGTGAACGTATACTCTCAACTTTTGTTTTTGTGCAAGATATATTAATGTGAAAACAAGATTCTTTTTTCAAGGCATTTGCACTGAATTTAGGCTATCATCATTCCAGAACAAGTTTAATTCCATTCAAGTTTGATTTTAGGAAATTTATTAATTTAGAAATTAGAAGATGAAATTATGCACGTTGTGAAAATCCACAGAGCTCATCACAGAGCAACTGACAGATGGACAGAAACCTGAATGGATTCACATTGCTTTAGAGGGAAACTCAGCAGAAAATACTCTGTGTTGCAACTGAGACTCTATACAAGCCTCAGGCTACCTGGAAATGACAGCTTAAATGTGCAGGGTGGACAAAAGTTATCAGTAAATATCTCAGTCCTGTATTTGGAGGGATGCAAGATAAGACAACAAGACCAATGAAATAATTTTAAAGCTGGGACAGTAGCTACAAGAGTTATGTCTGCTGAAGTTATCACAATTGCAAGGCAATTGCATATTGCATAGGAGAATCATAGCAGAATTTAGCAAAGGAGGCTTGGCACAAGTGTAAATATTAATGTTTTAGAAAGCACAGGAAATTCCAGCAATCATTGAATCAACCTTTCTGAAAGATGTGCATTAGTCAAATACAAACCATTAAGTAAATGCATGGAAAAAGTAATGTCCTGGAAGAAATAAACTAGTGATACATACCACATCAGACTAAACAAGCTAGCTGTTCTTTCTTGGCCTTGTACTACCTTTTAAAATTGCTGGAAAGTAATCACAAACAAAAGCTTAAAAAAATACAGAAGAAAACACGGTTTGTTTTCCCGACCTCTTACATCTTCTACTATGCACCAAATAAATGCACAGCAGCCTAGAGCCTGACATACCATCTTGCTTTAATCCCTTCCTGTTGACAGTGAAAAATGTTATACAAGTGTTCTACAAAAGATATACAATATCTGTTCATCAGGAAACCACCTCCCTGTGCAAAGATTCCTCATTGTACCATGCAGACAGGGATGCCTGCAGAGATGCACTGTCATGCACAGGGGCAGATACTTTATTTGGGAACAAAGAGGCATGCACTGAAACAGCTAATGCTAGATGACAATGAATATGTGCATCTCACCCCAATCAGAACCAACATTCAGGTTGGCTCTCCTGACAGCTGCACTGTTAAGAAATCAGCTAAGAAGTAAAACTAACCAGGATACCTATGCCATCTGGATACTTGCCCTCCTGCATGGAGAGGGAATACGAATAGGAGAAAAACTAGCTGACAGCAGGAAAATTGAGAAGCAGTAAATCATGCAGAACTTGCCCAGAAATAACTAGATTCCTTTATTTGTTCCTGGATTGGATCCATTCTGCCCAGATAGGTTCCTCCTCAGCACAATACAGAGCTTTGCAAGTTGATGTAATGAAGTGATGGGTCACGCTGCTGCTATCGCATGTGGGATTTATGAGGAGACTTTATCAGCTGAAATCAGGGAATGAAGGGGGCAGAGACGTTTTGGTTCTGCTATGCAGACAAGTCTGCAAGACAGATTTAAATGGGTGGGATGAAATCAGTCTTACTAAGGTGTTCTGTGTAGATGTAGCTGCACTTACCCCAGATACACCACCGTTCATCAGGAAAGGATCTGACCAGTTAGGCATTCATCTACGAAACAAGAACATCTGTTAGCAAAAGCAGGCACACCTCCTACAGGTAATGCAGCATATTTCCTCTCTTTCCTTAAAAAGAAAATGTTCAGTGCAGACACGAAAGCTGCCCTCCCTGTTGATCACCTCTTGTCTCTCCCTTTGGCATGTTATGTGCAATATTCATGCAGTAACAGATGCACACAGTGAGTAAAACACTCAGAGATGTTTGTCAAAGATTTCCTAAGGCTTTTCATGTCCTTGCTTTCCTGTGAGGTGCCCAAACATAAGTCATCCCTGTTGGCTTTTAGAGTAGATTAATTCAAAGCACAGCCTCAGAACCAAGGGGGGGCCGGGCCGCCGGGGGGCCGCGAGGGGAGAATGAAGGGTAATCAGTTAGCTGGGGTGTTGAGGTGGAGCATTTTTCCTAAGAAGGACAACTAAAGGGTAGGAAAGGCATTTCTGAATTAGCACGTTTTCATCCAGGTAATACAGTTCCCTGTGGAGCTGTACCCCTAATGCAAGCTCATGGACAATTCTTTTATTGGACATGATCTGAGAAGCTATTGGAGATGGAGAAAAGATAATCAAAACAGAAGAGTGATTTAGCACTTCTCAAAAGCACAGCAGGATATTAAATAAAAGACTCAGGCATCTGGGCCCTGAAACACACTGCACTTTCCTGATCCACAGAGATGGAACAAGGAAACCTCCCAGTAATGTCACTCCTGCTCATCCCTACCTATTGGAGATGCTACTAGGCAAGGTTTGCACCAAGAGGAGCCGTGAGCCACCAAGTGTCAGGGTTAGGGACATGGAAACTCTGCAGCACTCCTCAGGCGACCAGCAGTGTAATACAGAACAAAGGGCTTTGCTGGGCCAGCCATGCACGACTTTTGATATGCAGTGAAGTGGGAAATGGGCCATATCTGCAGCATCTCTCAGCTCTGATCTAAAGCTAGTCAACTAGTAATATTTTCTTTAAAGAAAAGGACTCTGCCTTCAATTTTCACTTCATGAGTCCTCAGACCAAATTAATGCCCAAATTACATCACATAACGTCAGGCCAAGTAGGTTTACAGGTTTTTGAGTTGGGTGAAGGATTAAATTTCACCCACCTGTCTTCAAGTTCCCAAAAGATTTAAGGATGCAACAAATTTTTCCTTGATCAATGAGAATATTCACATGAATGAAGCTAGGTGGGCACAATCAGGATCTGGCTCCAGATAAATAAAATGACATAAGTGGAATTATTTATCACAACTATTCTGTTTTCCTGGAAAGGAAAAAGGAAGGGAGGAAGGGTGAAAATGAAAGGCAGGTTGAATCATAGTAATTGGATTGATAGCACCACAGAAAACAGGCTAATCCTTGTAATCCAGGGGCACCGTCAGAAAAGGACTAAATCAAACATGTTGTTATTCATCTTGTATAGCTATTAATACAATTCACTGCAATGGTTATTCGATATATATGCTGTCTGTGTGAATTACTGCATATTTCATTCTCCTTTGAAAACTGAGAGAGTTGAAATAGAGTAGCATTTCTTTTTATCTGGCAGAGCTTTAATCTTTTGCTCATCATGGTTTTACCTGAACCCTGGTTTAAAAAAAAAAAATAAATAAAAATACATGCATGAGTTTTTTGCAAGATAAGCAATTCCCAAATTAGAACTCTGTGGTCATCGTTCTTAGTCATGATACATCTGCCACTCCTTATAAATAATAGCTATATGAGGATCTGTTTTTTCTCAAAATGAGAGTCAGTGAAAATCCACCACATTGAGCAACATTCAGTAGGGTTCATATTGTAGCCAAAGAAGGCACATTGGACCCTGCAGGAAGTAAGATAATTACTTGCAGTAGTCAGGAAAGACCTCCTATTCTACTTACGGGAATAAACTTAACTTGTGCATCCTCTCAGCAAAACACAAGGATCCAGCCTGGCACTCCTGAGATAGAGCAAAATATCCCTGAGAAAAATAAACCAGACTTCTCCACATCCTTAGAATATACCTGGTCTCACACTACACCCCTTCATCATTTGACTCACACTGAGGATGGTGACACAAAATCTCGGCTCTGTTTGTCAGAGAGGATTTAACTGAAAGTTAGACTGGAAGAAAGCATCTGCAAACACAGACCTTGAAAGATAATCACCCACCTTATTCAATGTGCCCATCATCTACAGGGCGTGGGTATAAGGTGTGCATCTACCATAGCTGAAAAACACCTTGCTCCTTTGATATTAGCTCCTGAATGGACTTTGTTGTATGTTTGAGGCTGGCTCCAGGCTGAGGAAGACAAGAGAGACCACGAGAAGTCATCAGGAAGGTCCAGTATGACCCACAATGGAGGTTGCAGAATCAGTCAGCAGGTCACGTTTCTCTTATTTCCTATGGGAGGATTCAAATGAAGATCTAATAATGACCTTAAAAACTGGAAACAGAAACAGGAGACAGCGCTGCTGTGCTACCTCAAACTATCCTCTGAGGCAAGAAACTGAAAAATCCCATCAAGGAAACATCTCCATAAAACAAAAATAAAGCGTAAACAGAAAAATAAAACCAGACGCCCATGTGTACCCAAAGGAACTATTAACAGCAAAATGTTTGTCAGTATAGGATGCTCCACCACACACATCTGGTGCTCTCAGCAATACAGAACATTTCTTTAATTGCTACACCTGAGACCAAGAGCAAGAAATAGATCTAGGGGCCGATCTCAATGCATTTTGAGACATGTGGAGATGAGTAGTGGCATGAGAATTCCATTGTCAATAACCAAGCAGTTCTATATTACTGAGTTAAACAGATACTTTCAGGATACAGCTGTGTGTCTATAATTCGGTACCTGTTTTTCAGTTCCTCCTGATGAAAGACTATAGGGATAACAGCAATAAGCCTCTTATTTGGTATATATAGCTCAATACTTTTTACGCTATCCAAGATGCCAGTACAGCAATGTCAAGTGGAAAAGGCAACTGCGGAGACTCCAGGCTGCTGCTTCCTCTCATGGGGTTGTTGCATCTCATTGAACTTTTCTGTTCCCGATTTATGTACTCAGATTGTAAGCTCTGGCTACACCTATACCTTGCGGGAAGGATCCTCACTCGCTCCTGAGCCCTTAAAATGTGCCGCAATTTAGCAGTACCCATTCAAATTCATGACTTCTGTGAATGGGGCTTCAGTGCAACAAACACACGGTGAAGATATTGCACCCATTGAGACAAAAGGATCCAAACGCAGACAAAAAGCAACAAAGGAGATAACTACCACTCATCTCACGCATTGTCAGATATTTCTAAAGAGGAAAATGAGCTCCTGCTTCTCTTGTTCAGCATGGTTAAGTGAGTGTGAGTCTATACAAAGGGGACTTTAGACATCTCTTGACCCGAGATTGCCTCGGATTATTTGCATCCTTTTCAAAGTTGGAAGTTCATGTGTTGTATTATGGCACGTTTGAGGTCTGGAAAAGATACCATGTTCCCAAGCCTCATAGTTCAGGTTGGTGCCAAGATATACGCTCAAAGCCATGCATGTCCTTGTAGTTTATGCATTCTAAGTTGTTGCATTGCCTCCTACACTAAGTGCATGATCAAGAGGTATCCTTAAAACACTCACTACCTTCGAGCAAACTTGAGGCAGCTCAGATAGCCTTTCCCACCTGCTTTGCCCTACTGCGACACAATTTATTAAAAAGAAAACCCCTTGATCTAAAGAGATTGGACATTAAATTTTTTTTTTTTCTTAAATGATGGAAAATTTTCCCAGATATGATGGCCCATCACTGTGATTAATCACAGCGCAGCCAGAGCAGAGGGCTGAGCGGTGCGTTCAGCAATCAAAGCCATCAGTCCTGCCTCTTGGGATCAGATTGCAATTTCTGGCAAGTGGGGGAATCAGATTCCTGATTTCATCTTCTGCAGAGAACAAGTAGAATAGGAGATCAACAGCTCCTTTGGTGAGCACCAGTGGCTCATTCCAGCTGCATCTGTGGGATGTCTGTCCCTGTGGAATGATGCTCCACGGACCTCAGCACGTTGGTATTGGCAACGTCAAAGAAATGGTACTTTAAAATTGTCGAATCAGGGCGAGCGTGAGACTTGCTGAGCATTCCCTTTGATGTTCAGGGGAACTGAATGCATTTTGAATGTCTGACGGGATTTGCAAGGGATATTGTGCTTTTCATTTTGTTTTGAACAAAGCTTGAATTTTCCACCCTGAAAATAACATCGAGTATCTTGATATGTGCTCTTGTGCTGACTTAGAAGGAAAAAAAAGAACCATGCAAACAAACACACAAAAAAACCCACCAACAAAATCAATACCAGAGCCGGAAAAAAAAAAAACACCAAAATAACAACAACAAAAAGATCCCCCTCCCCGACACAGAAAAAAAATTAAAATAAAATAAAAAAATTTAAAAATCACCATCAACAATAAAAAAAGCGACCATAAAAGAAACAAACAAAAAAACTCCCAAACCTGAAACCCCAGCTGGGCTGGTCCCCATTAATTTCTTGTAATATAGTCATTACAAAGTATTATATTTTCAAGTTATGTTTTATATACCAGTTATGTTTTTGTATCCTAAATATGGAACGTAGACATGCTTTACCATTAAAGACAAAATAAATAAAGGCTGTATACATGCTGATGTTACCAAACAATATCAGAATGAAACATTTCACTTTTCCCCACCATCTAGATTCAGAACGCTTCTAGACTTTATTTCCCTTCCTCTCTAATGTAAGCTTCCCCTATTCGGAGTTTTGCAACAAGTTCAGTGACACAGTAATTGTTTCTTTCCTGTTTAGAAATACACCAAAATAGGATAAAGTTCAATTTCTGGCTGTAAATACCTCTCCATAATTATTGTTGTGTAACTGTGTATCCTAAAGAACGATGTTAAAATCATTTTGGGCATTTATTTCAGTTTTATTTAAAACAGATTTTTAGAAGCTAAAGAACCTTTGGATTTGTTTTTGGCTTTCTCCTCATTAGTGTTTCCCTTGTAATGATGCCATAATGATTCACTATTTGATGTTCTCCAGTTTCAAACTTATTTATTGTAATTGCCCAATTTCTTCTGAGAATGACAGATAAGGAAATATTTCAAGAGGTTTGTAAATAACTGCCAAGGACCACAAGACTGCAGTTATTCTTGATTTATATCTGGTCTGTTTTGCTGTGCTAGCTGAAATAATGTGTTTATATAATTTTTCAGTGCAGTTTGTGTTATTCATCACTCAGCAAACAGTATGAACTATGCATCTTGTCTAAAACTTCAAGGTATTTTTCAGGTTGTCATTACTATGATGTATTGTATTCTTCTAGAAAACCACCATAGGGTAATAAAGTGACTTTAAAACAAAAGAACAGTCCTTAATACAACTTCAGGAAGTCTTACCATGAGAAGAAAAGGGTCCCAAGTCCTGCAAGTTGCATGGTTGCTTGGCTTCCCAGTGCAAAAGGAGGCAGAATTCAATCTTCTCTAGAATTCAGCTTTGTAAGAGTTTCTGTCTTATAAAACATATAAATACGCATATTTTGTTTTATTTTTATTATCTATATTTATGTATTTACTTTTAATGCATATATACGTTACTGCAACCCTCACAAATGCTTAAGGAGAAAATACCTATCCTGAAAGCATGACCTTGCAATATTTTTCTATTCTGCCTAAGAAGAAAATTGGCTTGCTAATAATTGCAGCTTCCAGCTCCATGCTGCTAACATGATTGATGTTGCAGGAGGTGGTGCTTATGATAATAAGGAAGTTAATGAGAAAAGCCAGGATGGCTCATGTTTCATAATCAACAGAATAAAACCCAGCATTTCTTAATGGGGAAAAGATAAACACTGGAAAAGAAAGAAAGGTTGCAGTCCAAAAAAACCCCAAAAACCTAAAAAAAGGAGAATGAAAGTACTGTAGCTAGAAATATCAATGAATAGTGCTGTATGTCAAAGCAGTGACGCTTTGTTTACATGGTCTATATTAATATTGTTAGTTACTTCCTGAACCAAGACTGGGGGTCTGTTGAAGAAAGGATATTTAAAAATAGAGTGAAGGGACAAAAGGAATGTTCAGGAGTCCAGAATAAATACTGTTGAATTTGGGTGGTGCTCTGCAGATCTCTAATTTGCTCATAGAACTAAAACTGGACGCCATACAAAGGGAATTACAGGCCAAAAGCAACCACCAACAAAAAACACAACACCAACATAAAACACTACTAAAATTTTTGTCATAGGAGCTTGGTAAATCTGGAAGAAATATTATAGAAATGATACAACTGGGAAATGAAAATTCTGTCCAGCCTGCCTTTCTGTATCTACAGAGCTTTGCTTTGCAGCAATCAACACACAAAGACAAGACACAGGCAGGTAAGGCCCTTCTCTTCCACTACCTTTGTGCACAGCTTTGCAGAGCTGAAAAGAAGTGGTGTACAACTTTTCCAACAGAACCCAATGGGAAATTATGTCTCCAGGGTAGTGTCATTCACTCCTCTTTCTCCTGTAGGCAGAGGTATATCACACCTCTTGACAGGACAAGAGGTAATGGCCTTAAGTTGTGCTAGGGAAGTTCAGATTGGATATTAGGAAGCATTTCTTCTCCAAAAGAGGAGTGAGGTATTGGAAGGGGCTGCCCAGGGGAGCGATGGGGTCAGTGATGGGGTCACCATTCCTGGAGGTCTTCAAGAAAAGGGTGGATGTCGCACTGAGTTACATGGTTAGAGCAGTATCAGGCATGGGCTGATGGTTGGACGAGATGATCTTATTGGTCTTCCCAGCCTCCATGGTTCTACGATTCTATACGCATTCTTTAGCTGAAGCTGTGACTAAAATCCACCTTACCATCATAGCAACAGATTTTGTTATGATATACGTGACTGAGCACTATATACGAACCTCCCTTTGACTAAATCTGATTGTCAGACAGTTGACATTCTTCTTTGTGAGAGAACCTCTGGTTTGGCAGAAGTTCTGTGAAAGATAAAGAACCGCATCCAGAAATAATTCTAATATGAAAAAAAAAAAAGAAAAAAAAAAAAAGAGGATGGGTGAGGAAGTTGAAAGATACGGATTAGGTGATACTAAAGTGTGCTAGTATAAGTAGGGAGGAGAATAAAGGGAAGGGTTTGTCATCGTAGATAGGCCTTGAATTGTCCTAAGATAATCCTAGAGGCTGACCTCAGTGCATCCTGAGACATGCAAACAGCAGCAGCAGATGCAGGTTTGGACAGCAGAGCATCAGGATCTGGCTTTGTTCAGTAATACTTTTCATCACCCTCTTTGAGAAGAGCGTAGAATGAGACTCAAATAACATCAAGAGTTTCTGCTCTCTGTCCAGTGTTTTGGTCCACAAGCATCTTGCAAATAGTTCTGGCTTCAATTCCAAGGTGCTGAGTGAAGATACCAGCACACGGTCCTCAAAGGAGGACCGTTGTACTGTCGTGCTCTTCCACAGCCTTCAGGGATCTCTAAAGGACGCGGAGTCCCTGAGAAAAAGGAACAAAGCCTTTTCCACTTAAAAAAAATCTGTTAAATGAAAGGAAGCGGGGCAGGTGGCTCACTTCCTGAGGGCTGATTGCAGGGTGAGCCCAGGCGCTGATTCACAGCCAGCTTGGAGCCATTGTCCCTGTCCACCCGCGCACAGGAAGGAGCCTGGTCCTGGCCAGCCACCGCCCCACACACCACAATGCCCTGGGCACCCAAACCCTCCGTGGGACTTGAAAATACAGTCACAGAGCGAGGCAGCTTCCCCCAGTTTCCTTTGCTGAAGATTGACCACCAGCACGCTGCTTGAGGAAAGCACAGTGCTGCCATGTTAAATGGGATCCAGTATTCCCAGGAAACAGAAAAACAATAGCATGTGCATGTAATGCATGTTGGAGAATTCATTGATATTTCCCCCTTCCTTGGTTCTGGCCAAAAGAGCAAGCATCAGACCCGGCGACAAAGCACTTCCTATCTCTGCTGCTCTGTTTAAGGATGTGCTCATCTAGCAGCCACACCACAGACACTCTGTGGACATCTCTCACTAAAAATAGGAGCAGGAAAACACTGATTTACAAGTAAGCCCCTCCTCCCAATTTAAAATATATTTTACAGCTTCATGGGTGCTCCTTTAGGAGAGCTTTCTCTTTCCATCAGCATTATTCTAAACGGTAGGGGCTAACGAATGAAAGAGGACAGCGTGGGCTACTCAGCCTGCATCTCCTCCCAGCCTGGCTTGCTTGTCTGCTCCATGCTACCCAATGCAACCAGGCTGTTGCCCTGCACGAGGCCAAGGAACAGTCTGCACTGCCATAAATCCAGGCCTTCCCAGCAAGATCAAGGAGGAGGAGGGCTGTGGGAGGCCTTGGAGGAGGCAAGGGAAGCTGTAACAAATGTGTGAAAATTAAGTGGATGCGTGTTTACATTGATATATCCACACATGTGGGCAAGGCCAGCCGCACACCCGCTCAGCCCTGCTTGGGTCCCACCAGATGTGAGCTGCTTACAGCTGGGAAGTGCCTTTTGTTTTAATTTTTCCTTTCATTATGGAGTCTCAGTTAAGCTGCCTCAGCACATCAAACCCGGCTGCAGAGCTCCAGCCTGGACTGCCTTGTATCCAGATGGAGATGATAAAGCAAACGTTTGCACCTGCTCATGTGGATGGAATTCCAGAGGTTTTGCTGACCATACCAAAGCAAAGCCTCACTCCAACACAGAGTGAATGAAAAATAAGAAGGAAAAAACTCTGTGACCACTTTAAACTTGTAGTTTATGAGTTGATGCTGAGAATACAAAAAGAGGCATTCATTTTCACTGTTGATATTTTTCGTAATATTTCTGAGAAAAATGTCCAAACTGATGACAGTGCAATCTACTTTGTTAGTAATGACCTTGCATCTACTATTATCTGTACATAAAAAAGGGGGGGGAAAGGTTCAGATTTGATATTCTTCAAAACTGAATACATCACTGTGCAGCTATTTGCTAAAACGGACCCAATTTTTAATCAGCTTTTTCCCTCTCTTTGGAGGATTAAGAATGCCTCATGCAAGAGTTATAGTCTTGTTAGCAACATCTTATTAGAAAAAAAAAGTGCTATTTTTTTTGTCAGTTTGTTGCTTAAACAGTGAGTAGTCACAGTGTAAAAGAACAAAAATGGAAAAGGACATTCAGAAAAAGAAGAATGCCCTTACCTGCAGATCACCTCCTGCACACCCACCTGATAAGCGGTCAAATGAAACATGGCCTCATTACTCCTTGGGAGAAGATTTTCATGTCGGCTTCCCAGCTTCATTATGAATGACCATTCCCCCCATGCTTTTCTATGGACTATCACACAGTTACTGCCCAGTAGAACAAAGTTGGCCCAAAGGGACAGAGCTGATAGCTCAAGGGGGCTATGGCAGCTGAGGGAGGGATGGTATGGAATCAGCTCACCTGCTGGATCCACCCAGGGACAATAACTGCAGAGCTCACAGAATGCAATCAAGTGCATTCTTCCCTTGGGTGATTAAAGAAATATCCAATTTGATGCAACCGAGCTACAAAAGCTCTCTGTATCCTTCTTCTGCCAAGCGCAGAAGAATGCTTTGCTTTAAGCAATCTACAAAAAGTGCAGTATGCCAAAGACATATCACTTACATGGAATCCAGGTAGCTTCATGCAATCACTGATTATGCATAATTATGCCAAACGTAAGGGGGAAAAAAATCTAAATGAAGTAAGTCAGCTTAGCAGTGGTCAAGGTTTACTGTACTTCTCCCAAGGGAAACCTGTGGAGGTTCACCAGGAACCCCTCTTTTCTACTAATGCAATGAATCTAAAATTAACAATGAAAAATACTTCTTCATGCTGGTTTTGTAACTACACCGAGTTCAAAATCTGAAAACAAGATAAAATTTATATAAAGCCTCTTTCAATTATACAAGACAAGATATAAGTGACAAGTGAAAAATCTAAGCAAGTCGCGAGAATTTTCCCTATTTCTTTCAGGTTTCTGTCTCCCACAGTCTCTAGCAATGGTATAAATCACATCTCCGTTTCTTCAAGGTGTGATTAAATGTGCAACGTTGTTTTCTCCAGTTGGACATCACTTAACAGCAGTTGTGCCTTAATATATTCAGAATCAATTACCTTTCACGCATCATGCTGTCTCAACTTTTAGCAGTTGTTTGTGGTGCTAAGTTCTCCTGGATAATTAGAGGATCTGCACCTCCATCATTATAAAAGATTACTTTTGGTAGGGTTTGCGCAGGGCTACCAGCAATGCTACAGTCACAGGAATCTTAATAAGAGCCAGCTTGTTTCTCACACTAACACTCCAAATCTTTAATGACTTTAGCCCACAGTATTCATAGAAGACAATTAAACACCTTTATCAACATTTGCTATCAGCAAGAAAGTAAAGCTCAGAGGCGACGTGGTTAGATGCTCACAGACTAAGCACCCTGTGTACCTGCATCTCTAAAGCACAGACACACTGGGGAGAAGCCACAAGTGTACCGATGGTGGAGGAAGAAAGA